TGAATCGTAAATTGTAGTCCTTCATGCCATTCGTAATTGTTACAAACCTTTTTTGTGAATGAATAAAACAAAGGTTAAATTATATCACACCATAGTGAACATAACCAACAAGTGGCGCAGAGTTACTCGGCTCCACCAAGAAGTCCCACGAAGAAGAGTTGCGGATTTCTGGAATATGTAGTTTATATAAAGTAACACGTTAAAAACTTGATATTCGTGGTGTTTCCTTCGATTTAGTCATCATACACTTCCGTGATGTTAATGCTAAATTAATTCATGAAATGTACACTCTTCAACCTTTGGTGTGAGAATTATGTTTTTATTCTTTTTCTCGAAGTTTCCGACAAGGCCGGCTTACCCATAGTGCATTGCGCCGCTAGTTTCTTTCTTCTTGGTGGTGTGGTGGTCCAAAATGTCGCTACTGGAAGGTCCGTTAAACGTGCTCGGCCAGCGAACAACCGGCGAGTCGGTTCGCACCCAAAATGGTGAGTAGTCGCGCTTAACTTCGCGACATTTATTAGCCGCATCTTGGTGCTCTCTGCTCTCATTATTGGGGCCAAATGAAGGATTCCTTAAGCTTTTATCTAGCACATGTGCGGAGCTATATGCTAACGCTAGCTTAAAAGTGGGTGTCATGGTCATGCACGTCATACGAAGCATTAACGGAACTCCGAAGTAAAATCAGAACAATGATAACATGGCAGCCATACCCGCAGCTTAACCGCTTGTATTATTTTATTGCAATCCCGTTGAAGTACCTTCCACTCTGAACCATGGATGGATGGCTATGCTAATGGGATAGAAGAACTCTGTCATGGTCTGAAGGTGTGGTTGCGTCGGTGTTTCCTCACCCAATAAAATGACAGAATACTACCAACGAAACTCAAATTGTTCGTGACCCACGATGTGTCCTCAATTCTACTATGTTTTGGACACTTTCGTTGAAAAAAAAATAAATACACGCACAAATTGCGTCAGAATCAATACATCAGTATTCTTCACTGTTTTGTTTTATCCAACCTTTTGCAGTTACATTTTAAGGTGCTAATCGTAGCTCATTTATCATGTGATTTCCCAGGCTTTGTAGAAATGTCCATATGGCAGTGTGAACATCGGCAGAGATTTAAAGAAAAAGTGTTGCAGAAGAAAATTAAAATGGGAACTGTATGTTGGGAGTAGCATTTTTGTCTGTCATTTCAGTCATGGCTGCGGCATCCATCGCTAACATCGTCAAGAGCTCCCTAGGACCAGTGGGCCTTGACAAAATGTTGGTGGATGACATTGGGGTGAGTTTGGTGGATCGCATTCCACCGTCTTTTTTCTTTTTTATAACCGTATATAAAGTATTTATTAATTTAGTTCAAATCTATCTGTAGGACGTGACCATCACCAACGACGGCGCGACCATCTTGAAGCTCCTGGAAGTGGAGCACCCGGCCGCCAAGGTCCTGTGTGAACTGGCCGACCTGCAGGACAAGGAGGTCGGGGACGGGACCACGTCTGTGGTGAGTCAAAAGGTCGTCGGTCCCTGCCATGTGGTGCGCCGCCGTGTCCTGTTATAGTACCACGCGTCTGCCGACTGCTACGGATGTGTGGCTATGCTAACAGGAGAGAGAAACTCCCCATCTGTGTCTGAAGAGGATATGCAGCCTCTCTTCTGCTGCCTCTAATGAAAAGATGGAACAGTGCTTTTTTTTTTTTT